GTTTGGCGCTACATTGTGATGTCATGTAAACAACTCTTTAAACGTCTGTACAGCGTTGATTACTGAATTAATGATATTGGTGTTCGGATTAATTTTCTTACCATTTTCTATCATGCTAGATAGTTTTCAAAACAATATTCAAGAAAAAGTTGTTTTGTATTCATCAGATCTTTCAAACAAAACGGCGAAAGAAGTCCCTTAAAATAAATATGAGTTTTGAATCCGCCCACTTTCATATTTATATTTCATATTTATTTTTAAAAAATATGAAATATATTTGACTGATATAGCACCATATTTCATGGGTAAAATTAAATAAATGTATTTATATATAATTAATTCATATTTTGCAGTAATCATCGGAGTGGTCACACCACAAGTCAAGAAGATGTTGCATCATGTGAAGTGAAGGATATATACATGTGTACCAGATGGATGTTAAATTACATTTGTTTGAATAAAACAATCTGACTTGGAAATAATTGTGAAATGTGCAAATTACTATAAGTGTTTGAATTCTTGACGACTAGAGTGCTTTTTTGGATTTGCTAATAAAAACACAAATGCAAATTAAAAGGTCATTTGATTTTATGCAACCATCATTTCAGTAAGTGAATTCCATAGTAATTCCAGAATGTTTCACAGTGAATTCCATAGTAATTCCAGATTTTTTTCAAGGCTTATGACATCTTACTTCAGATTCTATTTTCAACAGCGGAACTTTTTCCAGAGCGGCTCTGGAACATTTTCCAGAGTAACTCCGGAACATTTTCCAGAGTAACTCCGAAACATTTTCCAGAGTTACTCTGGAACATTTTTTCCGGAGTAATATGACATTTTAGCAGAACAATTTCCAGAGTTGCTTTGAAAACTCTGGAACATTTTCATGGAAAACTCTGGAAAAGTTTCATGAAAAAAAGCTCTGGAAATTCATGGAGAAAGTACATGAAAATTCGCGATTTTTTTTTCAGTTTTATTTGAACAACTCCGGAAAACTAGTCCGAATTATCCAGAGTTGGCAATTTCCATGAAAATTCCGGAAGTTTTCATGTAAATTCATGGAAAATGTACGGACGGGAATCCATTCAAAAATAACAAAGTAACAGCCAAAACTAACCTAAAATTTCAATAATTTGACCTTCAAACTCAGGGTCATTAATGAGTGAAGGTCAAGGTCTGTCTGGTTAAATTTAAAGGGCTATCCTTGAAGATTATTATGACCAAGTTTGAAGACAATCCATTAAAAATAACAAAGTTAAAGCCAATTATAGCCAACAAAAATGACAATTTCAATAATTTGACCTTCAAAGTCAAGGTCATTTATAAGTGAAGGTCAAGGTCTGTCTGATTAATATTAAGGGATATCCTTGAAGATTATCATGTTCAAGTTTGAAGACAATCCATTAAAAACTAACAAAACTAGAACTATCACTAAATGTGATAAATACCCCCACAAGACTGCTTCGGAAATGAAGATGTTACTAGTAACAGAATACCTTGTAAAAGAATTAAAACATCGAGTTATGGTAGTGGGCAATGAAAGATAGTTGTGGTTCTTGTATATTGCATTTCCTTTCAATGTGGTTGGCCATTGATGAAGTTTAATTGAATTACTCTGTAATAAGTCAAGAAAGACAAAGAAAAGGAAAAAAGGGCAATAACTCTATAAATACTAAAGATATAGTTATAGTTCTTGTGCACTGCACTTCCTCTTATTGTGCTTGACCATTGTATGAAGTTGTTTTGAATTCAAACCAGTACGTTTTAAGTTATGCTCCGGACATGGAAAAGTATCAAAGGGCAGTAACTCTGTATTTTGTCAAAATGGAGTTATGGCTCTTGTACACTGCACTTCCTTCTAATGTCCTTGACAACTGTATGAAGTTGTATTGAATTCCAAACAGTAGTTTTCAAGTAATGCTCTGGACAAGGAAAAGTAACAAAGGGCAATAACTCTGTAATAAGTCAAGATGGAGTTATGGTTCTTGTGCACTGCACTTCCTCTCAATGTGCTTGACCATTGTATGAAGTTATATTGAATTCCAACAATTAGTCTTCAAGTTATGGTCCGGACAAAAAAATCAATGAAAAAGTAACAAAAGGCAATAACTCTGTAATTACTTTAGATAGAGCTATGGTTCTTGTGCACTGCACTTCCCCTTATTGTGTTTGACAATTGTATGAAGTTCTTTTGAATTCCAACCAGTTGTTTTCAAGTTATGCCCCGGACAAGGAAAAGTAACAAAGGGCAATAACTCTGTAATTTGTCAAGATAGAGTAATGGTTCTTATGCACTGCACTTCCTCTCAATGTGCTTGACCATTGTATGTAGTTATATTGAATTCCAACAATTAGGATTCAAGTTATGGTCCGGACAAAAAAAAGCAATGGAAAAGCAACAAAGGGCAATAACTCTGTAATTACTTTAGATAGAGTTATGGTTCTTGTGCACTGCACTTCCCCTTATTGTGTTGCGTTTTAAGTAAATTGATCAGAAACCGTTTTTACCTACAAGGTCAATATGACCTTGACTTTTGACCCCAAAATCAATAGGTCCTCTGCTGGTCATGACCAATCACCATACCAAGTTTGAAGTTCCTAGGCCTAAGGGTTCTTTAGTTATTGATCGGAAACCGTTTTAACATACAAGGTCAATGTGACCTTGACCTTTGACCCCAAAATCAATAGGGGTCATCTGCTGCTCATGACCAGTCACCATACCAAGTTTGAAGTTCCTAGGCCGAAGCGTTCTTTAGTTAGTGATCAGAAACCGTTTTTACCTACAATGTCAATGTGACCTTGACCTTTGACCCCTTGATCCCAAAATCAATAGGGGTAATCTGCTGGGGCCATCCTTAAAAAAATGTTTGTTTGCAGTAACCCGACCGAGATTTTTGAAGGTGGGTAGGTAGGTCGATTTTTTTTTTTTTTTTTTTTTTTTTTTTTGAACTTTACTCCCAGATAAACATGGAATTTCAAAATGCTGGACAATTTATGCTTGATAATCTGGTAACAAATAATATATTGATAAATGAATCCTAATTAAAAAATACCTACATTTTATTTCTTCTATTTAACCTTTATAAGAACAAAAACAAAGCACAAGGCATAATTTTCTGATTCAAAAAAAATTTTTTTTTATCCAGACCATGAAAAAAACTTTTGAGTAGGGGCAAATTTTGTGAGTCGGTCGCGTTACTGCAAACAAACATTTTTTTAAGGATGGCCTGGTCATGACAAATCACCATACCAAGTTTGAAGTTCCTAGGCCTAAGCCTTCTTAAGTTATTGATCAGAAACCGTTTTACTTACAAGGTCAATGTGACCTTGACCTTTGACCCCTTGACCCAAAACTCAATAGGGGTCATCTGCTGGTCACGACCAATCATCATACAAAGTTTGAAGTTCCTAGGCCTAAGCATTTTTAGTTAATTGATCGGAAACCGTTTTTACCTACAAGGTCAATGTGACCTTGACCTTTGACCCCTTGACCCCAAAATCAATAGGTCATCTGCTGGTCATGACCAATCACCATACCAAGTTTGAAGTTCCTAGGCCTAAGGGTTCTTAAGTTATTGATTGGAAAGCATTTTTACCTACAAGGTCAATGTGACCTTGCCCTTTGACCCCTTAACCCCAATATCAATAGGGGTCATCTGCTGGTCATGACAAATCACCATACCAAGTTTGAAGTTCCTAGGTCTAAGGGTTCTTTAATTATTGAGCGGAAACCGTTTTTACCTAAGAGGTCAATGTGACCTTGACCTTTGACCCCTTGACCCCAAAATCAATAGGGGTCATCTACTGATCATGACCAATCACCATATCAAGTTTGAAGTCCCTAGGCCTAAGGGTTCTTTCGTTATTGATCGGAAACCGATTTTACCTACAAGGTCAATGTGACCTTGACCTTTGACCCCTTAACCCCAAAATCAATAGGGGTCATCTGCTGGTCATAACCAATCACCATACCAAGTTTGAAGTTCCTAGGCCTAAGGGTTCTTTTGTTATTGATCAGAGACCGTTTTTACCCAAGAGGTCAATGTGACCTTGACCTTTGATCCCTTGACCCCAAAATCAATAGGGGTCATCTACTGATCATGACCAATCACCATACTAAGTTTGAAGTTCCTAGGCCTTAAAGTTCTTTAGCTATTGATCGGAAACCGTTTTTGCTTACAAGGTCAATGTGACCTTGACCTTTGACCCCAAAATCAATAGGGGTCATCTACTGATCATGACCAATCACCATACCAAGTTTGAAGTTCCTAGGCCTTAAAGTTCTTTAGCTATTGATCAGAAACCGTTTTTTGCTTACAAGGTCAATGTGACCTTGACCTTTGACCCCAAAAATCAATAGGGGTCATCTACTGATCATGACCAATCACCATTTTTAAGTTTGAAGTTCCTAGGCCTTAAGGTTCTTTAGTTATTGATCGGAAACCGTTTTTTGCTTACAAGGTCAATGTGACCTTGACCTTTGACCCCTTGACCCAAAATCAATAGGGGTCATCTACTGGTCATGACCAATCACCATACCAAGTTTGAAGTTCCTAGGCCTTAAGGTTCTTTAGTTATTGATCGGAAACCGTTTTTGCTTACAAGGTCAATGTGACCTTGACCTTTGACCCCTTGACCCCAAAATCAATAGGGGTCATCTACTGGTCATGACCAATCACCATACCAAGTTTGAAGTTCCTAGGCCTAAGGGTTCTTTAGTTATCACTCGGAAACCATTTGGTCTACGGACCGACAGACCGACAAGTGCAAAGCAATATACCCCCTTTTCTTCGAAATGGGGGCATAAAAATAGAAAAAGTCGAGCTAAAAATGTGGAAAGAAAACATCCAATAAGTTTTATAACTAAACTAGTTCTGTAAGAGAGGTGAAAGCAATAATAGACAAATCAATTCTGTACAAATCTTTATTAAGAAAAGTCACACATTCATACTATAAAATATAATCAAACAAATAGAAAAAGTATTACATCTATAAAATAATAATATAACTAACAAGAGCTGTCCGTAAGACAGCGCGCTCGACTTTTTTATTGCTTGCCAATAAAAAAAGTTTTTGCAGTAAAAGGCAATACAAGAATCTCTGTATTTTTAAAGTGAACAATGGCCATGAGCATTAAGATATTTAGTGAAGAATTATTTTACTGAATTGTGTGATACCCTTGAACACTGCAGCAAAGTTTGAAATGTTTAAGTCAAAACATTGACAGTTAAGGGCCATAATTCAAATAAAATCTTTGACAGAATTACCTTCTCCTGGACATGTTTGGGAATCATGATTGTAAACAAGTATTCCAACTTTCAAATTAATATCTCAAACAGTTCAGTCAAAAAGTGGACTGGTACTAAAAACTTAACCAAGATTCTAAGTCGATAAAAGGCCTTAATTTTTAAAACAAATCCTTGACAGAGTTACCTTCTCTTGCGTACAGATGGGGGTAATGATGTGAAATAGCATTAAAAGTTTCAAAGCAATATCTCAAAGGGTTAAGGCAATAAGTGGATTTTACCCATATTCAATGTATTTTCTAAGTCAAAAAGGGGCATAATTCTGTCAAAAACCTTGACAGAGTTATGTCCTCTTGTCTGTTGATGAAGGTCGTGATGGTAAACAAGTATGGTCAGTTTCAAAGCAATACCTCCAATGGTTTTGAAATAAAGTGAGGTGGTACAAAAAACTTAACCAAGCTCAATACACTTTCTAAGTCAAAAAAGGGCCATAATTCTGTCAAAAACCTTGACAGAGTTATGTACTCTTGTCTGTAGATGGAGGTTATGATGGTGAACAAGTATGGTAAGTTTCAAAGCCATACTTGTAATACTTCTGAAATAAAGTGGGGTGGTACGAAAAACTTAACCAAGGTGTGACGCCAACGCCGACGCCGGGGCGAGTAGGATAGCTCCCCTTTTCATAGAAAAGTCGAGCTAAAAACTAGAAATGTGTCCATAGGACACGGATGCCCCCACACGCCACTGTTCTGTCAATCTTATGACTCTAGGTCAAATATTTTTTGGACTACATGTGCCACAAGTTGAAAACTAAAAATCAACAAAGGGCCATAATTCTGTTAAATTTGGTCGCAGCAAACATTCCTTCCTTTACTACCATCTACACATTAAGGTTGTTAATCCCTGGAAGTTTAAGCAAAATCTGCCATCCGGTTTAAGAGAAGCCAGTTTAAACCACAGGGCTTTTATTTGAACAAACTTGGAAGACACCCATTAGAACATATTTAATGCTAAACATCTAAGGTCTAGCTCGTTGAATTTTTTTAAAAGAAAATTTTAAATTTTTTTTCTATACACATACAGTTAAAAGCAATGACACCCCTGGTTCGTGGCCAATTTTGACCCCAGGGCTTTTATTTGACAAACTTTGAAGACAATCACTAGAAGATGTTTCATGCTTAATATCAAAACTCTAGCTATTTGGGTGTTTTCAAAGAAGATTTTTAATTTTTTGCTATACACATATATTAGGAAAATCAATGTCCCCCCGGGGCAGGGCCAATTTTGATCCCAGGGCTTTTATTTGAAAAAAACTTTGTAGACAGTCACTAGAAGATGTTTCATGCTTAATATCTAAACTCTAGCTATTTGGGTTTTTTCAAAGAAGATTTTTAAGTTTTTACTATACACATCAATAAAATCAATGACCCCCTGTCGGGGCCAATTTTGACCCCAGGTCTTTTATTTGAATAACTTTGTAGACACTTACTAGAAGATGTTTTATGCTTAGTATTTAAACTGTAGCTATTAGGGTTTTTTTTTTAAGAAGATTTTTACGTTTTTGCTATACACATATAAGGAAAATCAATGACCCCCGGGCGGGGCCAATTTTGACCCCATGGCCCTTATTTGAACAAAATTGGTAGACACCCATTAGAACATGCTTCATGATAAATATCTAAGGTCTAGCACTTTGGGTTCTTTAAATGAAAGATTTTTTAAATTTTTACTATATGCATATAAGGAAAATCAATGACCCCCTGGGGCGGGGCCAATTTTAACCCCAGGGCTTTTATTTGAACAAACTTGGTAGGCACCCATTAGAAGATGTTTCATGTTAAATAGCTTAGCTCTAGCTCTTTGGGTTCTTTAAAAGAAGATTTTTTTTAAGTTTTTTACTATATGCATATTGGGAAAGTCAATCAACCCCCTGGGGCAGGGCCAATTTTCACCCCAGGGCTTTTATTTGAACAAACTTGATAGACACTCACTAGAAGATGTTTCATGCTAAATATCTAAGCTCTACTTCTTTGAAGATATTTTAAGTTTTTTCTATCGGTTGCCATGGCAACCAGAGTTCTGCATGGAATTAAATTTCCTAGTACAATTTTTAAAGGTGACCACCAAAGGAACATTCCTGTGAAGTTTGGATGAAATCGGCTAAGTGCTTTATGAGGAGATGTCATTTAAAGAAAAAGTTTACAGACCGACGTACGACGGACAAACGGACGCCGGACGAAAAGCGATCACAAAAGCTCACCCTGTCACTTTGTGACAAGTGAGCTAAAAATACATGTACATGCAGTTTATTAGACAAAATGTTAGTCAACCAATGTTTGAATCTTAAGTAATTTATTAAATTCCAATTCTTCCTATAAAACCAAAATATTTAAGATAAACAAGCAAAGTTCCAAATGAAGTCAATAAAATTGTGCAAATTTCCAAATTAACAAGCAATTATCATAGCATTGCAAGCAATTCATAAGTCCCCTACCGGTTAAAACCCCAGCAACATTCTAAAGGGCCATTGGCTATTCACTAATGTTTCAATTTTTCTCTCTATTTTAAGTATATTTGTTGGAACAGTTCTTTACAAGTGATCACAGGAAACAGTTTTGATGAACAGACAGACAGATGGACTGAAGGACACTCTAAAGTTAATTTTTTAAACATCTCTGTTACCAAAATATAACATTTTTAAAAGCAAAATTCTTAAAGAGGAGGTTACTCTTGAAATAAAGATGCAAGACGTCATACATGCCATACATGATAATGAATGAGTGTTGATAATGAATGTTTATTTTGAATTTTAAGTAAAAGAAAGTTAAAAGAATGAATAAGAAAAATTTAAGGAGATAATTCTGGAAATATGAATGCTAGATTTAAAAACCTTGTCTTAAAAACCAAAATCAAACCAGTCTAAAACTTACATGTTAACATTAAAGATCCTTTAACACAATTTTTTATGGTTTTATTTCATAAATATGATGTTCAAATTGAGATTTATCAATATTGAAAGTTCCAATAAGCATTATTTATTTTCTATAAATTCTTAGTCAAATTTTCCAATAAGAAATGAATGCATATAATTTATTGATTACATATAATGTGCACAAATATATGCAGTACATATTTTACATATTCTTTGATGTTTGAAAATTGTTTTATTTGCATTATTATATACATATATAACTTCTTGTAAGTGTGGTATACACACAGTAATAATATCAATCACAAAACATACAGGATCTTAAACCAAGAGACTAAGTAAAAAAGGGGAGATAAATCAGCCTAAATACTTGACACAGATATGAGTGCTGTTCAGTGATCATTATATATGACCACACATATAGATATGAAGTTTCAAGTTTGTATCTTTAATAGTTTCAGAGATATGCAAAACTTGCATGTAAAACTTAACCAAGAAAAGGAGATTAATTTAGTACAAAAGGAAGCATAATTCAGTCAAAATACATGACAGAGTAATGGATCTTGAGATGTGACCTTGAATTTTGACCCTAAGTACGTGTGTAAAGTTTCAAGTTAATATCTTTGATAGTTCTTAAGACCTTAAACCTTTAACCAAAATTTCTAAGTTAAAAAGGAGCATAATTCTGTAAATATTTTAGGCAGAAATATCCAACTTGTCAATCTGATGTACATTGTTACTAAAAATAAGTATTGTAAGTTTCAATTGAATATCTCAAGCAACAAGATATGTTTGTAAAACATGTATGCCCCCTATCGGCAGCCAATTAGTCATGTGATCAGGTTATTATGCATGACTTCTGACCCAGTGAACAAACAATTAATAAGGGTTATCTAGTATCTACTGGTCATGACTAGTCACAAGGTAATAATTATTGTGACCCCATAGGTTGTGTGCAGCGTGCAGCAATTTAAGTTATTGCAAATCTTACCAAATAATATATGCATACATTTTATGAATCATGTAGGCCTCATTAATGACAGCCAAGTTGCAATATTACATAAGACCTTCAAATGTGTATAACCAAAAGCATTTTTAGTTTAATATTAAAATATCAACCAAGGCAACTTGAGTTGTTGAGTTATTGGTCAGAAACCGTCATTAAGTACAAGGTCAATATGACATTGACCCCTTAACCCCAAAATCAATAGGGGTCATCTACTGGCCATGACCAATCATCATACAAAGTTTGAAGTTCCTAGGCCCAAGGGTTCTTTAGTTATTGATCGGAAACCGTTTTTACATAAGAGGTCAATGTGACCTTGACCTTTGACCCCTTGACCCAAAATCAATAGGGGTCATCTTCTGGTCGTGATCAATCACCATGCCAAGTTTGAAGTTCCTAGGCCAAAGCGTTCTTTAGTTATTGATCAGAAACCGTTTTTACTTACAAGGTCAATGTGACCTTGACCTTTGACCCCTTGACCCAAAACTCAATAGGGGTCATCTGCTGGTCACGACCAACCATCATACAAAGTTTGAAGTTCCTAGGCCTAAGCATTTTTAGTTAATTGATCGGAAACCGTTTTTACCTTAAAGGTCAATGTGACCTTGACCTTTGACCCCTTAACCCCAAATTCAATAGGGGTCATCTGCTGGTCATAACCAATCACCATACTAAGTTTGAAGTTCCTGGGCCTTAAAGTTCTTTAGATATTGATCGGAAACCTTTTTACCTAAGAGGTCAATGTGACCTTGACCTTTGACCCCAAAATCAATAGGGGTCATCTACTGATCATGACCAATCACCATACCAAGTTTGAAGTTCCTAGGCCTTAAGGTTCTTTAGTTATTGATCAGAAAACGTTTTTGCTTACAAGGTCAATGTGACCTTGACCGTTGACCCCTTGACTCCAAAATCAATAAGGGTCATCTACTGGTCATGGCCAATCACCATACAAAGTTTGAAGTTCCTAGGCCGAAGGGTTCTTTAGTTATCACTCGGAAACCATTTGGTCTACGGACCGACGGACAGACAAGTGCAAAGCAATATATCCCCTCTTCTTCGAAGTGGGGGCATAATAATTGAGATATTTGACTTTACAAAAAAATTTAACAAACGCAGACGCTGACGCGACTGCAATAGCTCTCGATATTCTTCGAAAAGTCGAGCTCAAAATTGTAGAAAATTTCATACCAGTCTGTTCAACAATTTTCAACAGTTTTTTTCAAGTTTTAAACAAGATTGCATTTGTGAATAATGCTATGCCACCACGTTAATACATGTACAGCACTAAATAGTAATGTAGGAACAGATTTTTTTTGTTTCTATACAATTGAAGATTGCCATAATGCATAGATCACTGACCTATCTAATTCTTATTATCAGATAAGTGGTTAAATCTATTGTTATTCAAATAAAAGATAAGAGTAGGAATCTATTAATGCAGTTGAGTCTAGTGAATTTGGTGGTGAAGGTCATATTGCACATGGCCAAAATTCCATGACTGTACATCAAAGGACAACACAGAAAGACCTTTTGTCAAAATTTAGGTCAGCTGATATCAAAGTTCACTTCACATCTTAATCTGTGCACATAGTTCAAATATCATAACTGCACATCAAAGGACAAGAAAGTACATGTAGGTAACATCATCAAAATCTAGGTCACCTGATATCAAAGTTCAATTTCACAACTAAAACTGTGCACATAGTCCAAATTTCAAGGCTGTACATCAAAGGACAAGAAAGTAGGTCATTGTCCCCTTGGGCAAGGCAAAATTTTGACCAAAGGGTTTAATTCAAAACAATCTTGATACAGGTCCACCAAACAACATTACATGTCAAATATCTAAGCTGTAGCTTTCTCCAATTCAGAAAACATTTGTTTTAGTTACTGTTTTTACTATGTGTACATAATGAAAATCAATGGCCCCGGGCAGGGCCAATTTCGACACCAGGGGCAAAATTTAAACAACTTTGGTAGAGGACCTATGGCTGATATTATAAAGCATACATCAAAGATCTAAGCCTTGTACCTTCAGACAATAAGATTATCAAATTTTTACTATATGTACATAGTTTCTGAAAATCAATGCGGGGCCAATTTTAACCCCAGGGCTATAATTTGAAAATCTTGCTACAGGTTCACTACACAATGTTTTATGCAAATATCTAACCTCTAGCATTTGTAAATATAGAGAAGATGATTTTTTTTAAAGATTGTTCTATATACATAAAAGGAAAACCTATGACCCCGGGGCAGGCTAATTTTGAGGATAGAGGCAAAATTTAACAAAATTTGGTAGAGTATCTATAGATGATATCATATACTAAATATCAAAGCTTAAAGCCTGGTATCTTCAGACAATAAGATTTTCATTTTTTATTATATGTACATATAATGAAAATCAATGACCCCCTAGGTGGGGCCAATTTTGACCCAAGGGCTATAATTTGAACAATCTTGGTAAAGGTCTACCAGACAACGCCTTATGCAAAATATCTAACCTCTATTCCTTGTGGGTCTTTACAAGAAGTGTTTTTAAATTTATTCTTATAATTCCTTTTGGTTTCCATGGCAACCAGATTTCTGCATGGAATGAAATTCTTTGAACAACTTTGGAAGCCCTACACCCAAGGATCAATCCTGCCAAGTTTGGATGAAATTGGACAAGTTGTTATTCACAAGTAGATTTTTTAAGTTCACTTTATAATCTATAGAACACACAAACAAACATACAAACAAACACACAGGTGAATCGCTATATGCCACGGCATCGCAGATGCTGCGGTGGCATAAAAACATTCACTGAATGTTACTAGAACTATCGCTGAATGCGATTCATACTCCCACCAATGTCCTTGACAGAAGATGACTTGGAAAGGTGGTTAAGAGAATAACTTTAGTGGCACAAATACATATCTATAAAAGGAAATTATCTCTGGTGAAAAAAAAGACTAATTGTTCAGATATTAGTATAAATCATATAAAACAGTTACAAATAACCTTTCATTTTCCCAATGTACTAGACACTTTCTAAGACTATTTTTGACCTTCAAGTGTGGCCTTGACCTTAAGCTGGCACAAGGGTAAGATGGGTTCTGCACATTGCCCAGTTGGGTGAACATTTGAGTAAAGTTTGAAGAAAATCCTTCCATTAGTAAAGAATTTATAGAGCGGACATAAAATATTGTCTAGTATTGATTGTATGTAAATTTAAAGACTTAAAAAGGAGCATAACTTTGTCAAAATGCAATACAGAGTTATGAAACTTGACCTGCATATCTTATTTGTGACACCTCATATATCTTGTAAATTTCAAGCAAATACCTGCGCTAGTTTAATAAATATTCAAGTAAATGTTAAAATTTAAGAACATTTTCTAAGTCAATTTTTGACCTTCAAGTGTGACCTTGACCTTTAGCCAGCACAAAGGTTACATGGATTCTGCACATAACCTTGTTGAGGTGAACATTTGAGTAAAGTTTGAAGAAAATTTTTCCACTAGTATAGGATTTATGGAGCGGACACGACATATTGTCTAATATTTGATAAATGTAAATTTGAAGACTTAAAAAGGGGCAGAACTTTGTTAAAATGCAATACAGAGTTATGAAACTTGACCTGCATATCTTAATTGTGACACTTCATATATATTTTAAGTTTCAAGCAAATACCTTTTCTTGTTTCAGAAATATTCAAATACATGTTAAAATTTAAGAACATTTTCTAAGTCAATTTTTGACCTTCAAGTGTGACCTTGACCTTAAGCCGGCAAAAGGGTAACATGGGTTCTGCACATAACCTTGTAGAGGTGAACATTTGAGTTAAGTTTGAAGAAAATCTTTCAATTAGTGTAGGAGTTACAGAGCGGACACGACATACTGTCTAATATTTCATTGTTTGATATTTGACCTTCAAGTGTGACCTTGACCTTGAGCTGACACATGGGCAACATGGGTTCTGCACATCCCCTTGTTGAGGTGAACATTTGAGCCAAGTTTGAAGAAAATCTTTCAATAAGTGTAGGAGTAACAGAGCGGACACGACATACTGTCCAATATTTGATTGTTTGATATTTGACCTTCAATTGTGACCTTGACCTTGAGCTGACACATGGACAACATAGGTTCTGCACGTCCCCTTGTTGAGGTGAACATTTGAGCCAAGTTTGAAGAAAATCTTTCAATAAGTGTAGGAGTTACAGAGCGGACACGACATACTGTCTAATATTTGACTGTTTGATATTTGACCTTCAATTGTGACCTTGACCTTGAGCTGACACATGGGCAACATGGGTTCTGCACATCCACTTGTTGAGGTGAACATTTGAGCCAAGTTTGAAAAAAATCCTTCAATTGGTATAGGATTTATAGAGCGGGCACAAAAATGGAGACAGACGGACCGACCGACTGACGGACGCGACAAAGCGAATCCATTATAGCCCCCCGTCCACATTTTGTGGTGGGGGTATAATAACATATGTACAGTACAGTGCATTGGTATGACTACTGTTAATGTGTATAAAAAGGGATGTTAAAGGTGTCACTTCTTAGTATGCCATTTGGGAAGCAAAATGATAAATGCATCCAATCTTTACCGTCATTTTACCTTCCCAACTTTATAATATTAGCAACTAGAAATGTGTCATCATGTCACAGATGCCCCCGCATGCAGCCAAAATTTCAGATGTTATAATATTTAGTTCCAAATTTGTTTGCACAAATTATTTTTTTCATTGCGAGTTCAAAGCCCTTAAAACTATTCAATGTTAACACAAACCATTTTTATACAATGTTAGAGGCACTGAAATTTTTCAGTCTTAACCTTTTGTAACTTGCATATTGCATATTTGTAGCCAAAATAATGGCCACATACATTTCCACAAAAGTATGAGTGCTGACACTGAAAATTCAAAATTTTTCCAACATTCAAGAAAGATAAGTTTGTCCAAAATCATTGAACCATGACCAAATTCAAACTTGAACTGCTTATTCCTAAGATGTATCTATATGTCAAATTTAAGTTGAATGTGTACAACCATTGGGGAGATAATGAACGGAAACTTAAAATTTCTATTTTTTTTTCAAAGTTCAAGAGAGATAAGTCTGTCAGCTATCGTCAACCATGACCAAATTCGAAATTGACCAATACATTCTAATGACATATCCATATCTTTATTTTGAGTTGAATATATGTCGGGAAGATAATAAATGGGAAATGAAAACGTCCTTTTTTTCAAAGTTAAAGGGGCATAACTCTGAAAAAAATCATTTAACCATGACAAAATTCAAACTTGACCTGTGCAAATCTTTTGTGGTATCCATATGTCAAATTTGAGTTGAATGTGTAATACCCTAGAGGAAGATAATGAATGGAAATTGAAAATTTCATATTATTTTCAAAGTGAAAGGGACATAACTCTGCCACAAATCATCAAACCATGATCAAATTCCAACTTGACCTGCGCATTTAAAATAACATTTTCTTAGATAAACTCCAAGTTCAAGGGGGAATAATTCTAGAAATAGTCATGCTAGACTTATGAACCTTGTCCGCGCCATGTGTGCAATGATAAGAAATGTATATTTGAAGTTTGAAGTAGATACCTTCAAAAGTAAAGAAGTTATATTTTTAAGCTTAATTCTAAGTTCAAAGGGAGATTATTCTGAATATATTGGTGTAAAGTTATGAATCTTGTCACATAAGATGTGGTTGATGATAAGGAACATATATTTGAAATTGATTCCATAAGAAATGAAAAATTTACAGAAACTAGAACTGTGTCAAAAGGACACGGATGCCCCCACTGACAACATATATATGGTATATAGTGAAAAAATCAACAAAGGGCCATAATTCTGTTAAATTTGGTCGCAGCAAAAATTCCTTCCTTTACTTCCATCTACACAATAAGGTTGTTCATACCTGGAAGTTTAAGAAAAATCTGCCATCTGGTTTAAGAGGAGTTGCGTTCACAAAATTTCTACATGGTATATAAGTAAACTAGAAGTTTTTTGTTCCATGAGCAAATCGACCTATGAAAACTGATTTTTTACATAGCTAAGTGCAATAACTCTATGAATAGTAAAATAAATGTACAAGTATAACTGTTTGGGCTATGTGACACACAAGTTGGGCTATGTGACACAAGACAAAATTGCAAGTATTGAATAAATTCACAAGCAAATCCACAGGTGCACCCCTACATATTATGCTGACAGACATTCCTATAAAGTTTCATGACTGTAGGTCAATTATGTTTTGAGCTACGTGGGGCACAAACTGACAATTGCAAACTATTTGTTAAGTCAAGGAGCAATAATACTCTGACAAAAGTTAAATAATCCACACAAGAAACGCCAGGTGCCCAACTTTACATTGCTTATCAACATTTCAGTAAAGTTTGTTGATACTAGCTCAAGCACATTTAGAGCTTCATGTGACATAACATGAGACTGCAAGAACGCTCTGATGGGCTGATGGACAATGGCAAATTTAAATACCCACCTCCCTTTGAGCAGGGCATATCACTCAATACAATATGAAATCACAAAATTTCATTTACAATTTTCTTTTTTCGTGTCTGTAACTATAAGTATTTAAGAGACATCCATTTCAACTCCTGAATCAGTCAAAACTGCATTACATCCCGACGTAAATTGGCACATTTTTCCATCCGTACAACCAACAGCTCTTAAAATATCACAAATCGGGGTGACAAATGCACAACCCTTCATACCACCTTCCACAATGCCAATAGCAGCTGAATCATGTGTTCCTTCTATCATAACTAATGCACCAGAATCTCCGTATTCTGCGAAAGGGTTCTCTCCAATTTGAACAATTTTCATTTGATTTTTTAGATTAATTCCAAAACCGTTACCTTGTCCTAACATATCCTTACGTACTATTCCTCCGTACAATGCAAAACTTCCTCTTGTTATCCCGGAGCTCATGCCAAATTTGTAAACTTCAGTCCTTCGCTTAAGGTTTGATATTTCACACACTTCACCAGAGTTAAAGCACAATTGATTGCTTGAGTCAAACCCTGAAAATAAAACAAACAAGACTGCATTTGAGAAAAATGTTATGCCACCGCGTTAATAGAACACTAAATAGTAGTGTAGGAACAGATTTTTTTTTGTTTCTATACAATTGAAGATTGTCATAATGCATAGATCCCTGACCTATCTAATTCTTATTATCAGAATAGTGGTTAAATCTATTGTTAATCCAATAAAAGATCAGAGTAGGAATATATCAATGCACTTGAGTCTAGTGAATTTGTTGGTGAAGGTCATTTTTCACACAGCCTGAATTTCATGACTACATCAAAGGACAACACAGTAAGACACTTTGTCAAAATCTAGGTCAGCTGATATCAAAGTTAACTTTACATCTTCATCTGTGCACATGGTTCAAATTTCATCATGGTTCAAATTTCATAGCTGTACATCAAGAAAGTAGGTCACATCATCAAAATCTAGGTCACCTGATATCAAAGTTCAATTTTACAACTTAAACTGCGCACATGGTCAAAATTTCATTGCTGTACATCAAAGGAAAAGAAAGTAGGTCACTGTCCCCTTGGGCAAGGCAACATTTTGACCCAAGGGTTTAATTCAAACAATCTCGATACAGGTCCACCAAACAACATTTCCAGTCAAATATCTAAGCTGTAGCTTTCTCCCATTCAGAAAACATTTGTTTTATTTTCTGCTTTTACTATGTGTACATAATGAGAATCACTGCCCCCGGGCAGGGCCAATTTTGACACCAGGGGAAAAATTTGAACAACTTTGGTAGAGGACCTATAGATGATATTATATAGCAAACTTTAAAGCTCTATGCCTTGTACCTTCAGACACAAATATTTCTTTACTATATGTACATAAAGAAAATCAATGACCCCTCGGGGCAGAACCAATTTTGACCCCAGGGCTATAATTTGAACAATCTTGATAGAGGTTCACTTCGAATAGTCTCATACCACATATTTAACCTATAGCCTTTGTCAAATTCAGGGAAGAAGATTTTTCAAGTTTTTAATTAATACATATAAGGACAACTATCACCTGTGGGGCAGGGCTATTTTAACACTAGGGGCATAATTAAAACAACTTTAGTAGAGGACCTATAGATGATATTATATACCAAACATCAAAGCTCTAAGCCTTTTACCTTCATACAAGAAGATTTTTTAATTTTTTACTATATGTACATAGTGAAAATCAATGACCCCTGGGGGTGGGGCCAATTTTGACCCCAGGGCTATAATTTGTACAATCTTGCTAGAGGTTCACTACACAATGTTTCATGCAATATATCTTAACTCTAGCCTTTGTAAATATAGAGAAGATGATTTTTTAAGTTTTTACTATATACATACAAGGAAAACCTATGACCCCCGGGGCGGGGCTAATTTTGACACTAGATGCAAAATTTGAACAACTTTGGTATAGTACCTATAGATGATATCATTTAACAAATATTAAAGCTCTAAGCCTTGTACCTTCAGACAATAAGATTTTTTGATTTATTACTACATGTATGTATTGAAATCAAGGACCCCCGGGGCGGGGGCAATTTTGACCCCAGGGCTATGATTTAAACAATCTTACTAGAGGTTCACTACACAATGTTTCATGCAAAATATCTAATCTCTAGCATTTGTCAATTGCTAGAAGAAATCTTTTAAAAGTTTTTACTATAAGTTTTTACTATATACATATAAGGAAAACCAATGACCCCCGAGGCGGGGCTGATTTTGACCCCAGGGCTATAATTTGAACAATCTTAGTAGAGGTCTACCAGACAATGCCTTATGCAAAATATCCAAGCTCTAGGCCTTTTGGTCTTTACAAGAAGGTATTTTAAGTTTTTACTATATGTACATATAGTAAAAATCAATGACCCCCAGGGCGGGGCCAATTTTGACGCCAGGGCTATAATTTGAAAAATCTTGGTAAGGGTCTACCAGACAATGCCTTATGCAAAATATCTAAGCTCTAGGCCTTTTGGGTCTTTACAAGAAGGTTTTTTAAGTTTTTACTATATGTACATATAGTAAAAATCAATGACCCCCAGGGTGGGGCCGATTTTGACTCCAGGGCTATAATTTGAACAATCTAGGTAGAGGCCTACCAGATAAAGCCTTATGCAAAATATCTAAGCTCTAGGCCTTTTGGGTCTTTACAAGAAGATTTTGTAAATTTATTCTTAAAATTCCTTTGGTTGCCATGGCAACCAGATTTCTGCATGGAATGAAATTCTTTGAACAACTTTGGAAGCCCTTTACCCTAAGATCAATCCTGCCAAGTTTGGTTGAAATCAGATTAGTGGTTTTTCAGAAGAAGATTTTTTAAGTTCACTATATAATCTATAGAACGCACACACACACACACGCACGCACCCACACACACAGGTGAATCGCTATATGCCACCGCATATATATATATTGTTATAATTGCCTATAACTTGGTTATTAATCAAAATAGATTATCTTCAAACTTGGACAAGTCCTTCTTAATGGCTGAACTGCCTTGACCTTGAGTTTTCAATGACCTTGGCCGCGAAGGTCATACAATTGAATTATGGTTTAGTTGTCATAACTTTGTTATTTATCTACAGATTTGTATCATACGTGGACAAGACAACCCTTGTGACCAAACGGACATGTTGAATAATATAATATATATATGACCGTGACTGTCATAAGATTGAATTGTTCTTATATTTTCTTAACTTTGTCATTTTATTTATGGAAATCATTCATACTTGAACAAAACAACAAGTATTACTAGACAGATCTACCAAACTTGGAAGAAAAGGAACAACATTTTTTTTAATTATTTTTCTTTTTAAAGATTTGTTTAAACCATTTATTTGTCTGCTTTTAGAAAAAGTATAAAAGTCAAGCGTGTCCCCGCTAGATCTTGTTTCAAAGAATACAAGTTTAATGTAAATACTTAATAATTCACATGGTCACCATTTTTAATGTATTGAACCGTAACAAATTATGCATTTGATTGTCAAAAGTTTTCACTCTTGGTTTAGGACACGTAAATTCAGTTCTATGATTAGAGAAAAAGTGAGAATAATATATTGAAGAAATTCAAAAGAAAGAGGTTACAACATTTTTGAGAGTTTATTTGCCCTTTATAACATTTACTTTTTCCTATTAGTCTCTATAGCTATAACAACTAGAAATGTGTCCATAGGACACGGGTGCCCCCACCGCGCCACAGTTCTGTCAATCTTTTTACTAAGTCAAGGGAAATAACTCTACAAATACTGGATAAATCCACAAGCCAAACCCAAGGTGCAAATCTAAATATGCTGAGCAACCTGCCCATAAGGTTTAATGACTATGTCAAATCCTTTTTGAGTAACTTGCGACACAAGTTGAAAATTGCAAAAATTTTCTAAGTGAAGGGCAATAACTCTAAAAATACTAAATAAATCCAGACGAAAATATCTGATGCACAACTGCACATGCTGATCAACATTCCTGTAAAGATTCATGACTCTAGGTCAAATACTTTTTGAGTTACATGCAACACAAGTTGAAAATTGCAAAATTTTACTAAGCCAAGGGCTATAACTCTACAAATACTGAAAATATCCAGACAAAAATACCCAGGTGCACAACTACACATGCTGATCAACATTTCTGTAAAGTTTCATGACTCCAGGTCAAATACTTTTTGAGTTACATGCGACACAAGTTGAAAATTGCAAAATTTTACTAAGTCAAGGGCAATAACTCTGAAAATACTAAAAATATCCAGACGAAAATACCCAGGTGCACAACAACACATGCTGATCAACATTCCTGTAAAGTTTCATGACTCTAGGTCAAATACTTTTTGAGTTACATGCGACACAAGTTGAAAATTGCAAAATTTTACTAAGTCAAGGGCAATAACTCTGAAAATACTAAAAATATCCAGACGAAAATACCCAGGTGCACAACTACACATGCTGATCAACATTCCTGTAAAGTTTCATGACTCTAGGTCAAATACTTTTTGAGTTACGTGCGACACAAAAGTGAACGGACGGACGGAAGGACGGACGGAAGGACGGACGGACAAGGGTAAATCTAAATGCCCGCCACTAACGTGGGGGCACAAAAATAAATACCATTTATTAAGTATTAGAAAAAATTAACTTACATACATATCAAATAGAAATAAATAAAACAATATACTTTTAAAGCCGCTTTATTAGCTTTTAAACAGATAGAGGTATGTTCCTGACTTATAATTAGTGAGTTTTTCCTTGATCAAGTGGTAATGTTCTTGTTTACTGATCTTCCCTTTGTTGGTGCAGTTAAGTCTTTTTCCGCAAAATTTGAAAGCACACATCTTTTGGATAAAGTTCAACCATGAAATGTGATTTTAAATCAAGCAGTTATTGTAGCTTAAAATTCATTGTACACAGTATAAAATTATCTACATTTCTTTTTGTTGAATATATCCAAATTAAAAATATGTTGATCTAAACATTTTATTTTTTTCAGTTTGTTTTGATATTTATTACCAGTACATTATGTATGATAACTATTCATTAAATTAAAAAGAAAGAAAAAATAAGAAAAAAATTTCTGTCAGCCACTGGTTTTGAACTCCGATGTCTTAGGTGACAGTCATCAACAACATCCACTAGGCCAGAGAGTCTATTACTACATGTGCTTTAAAAATAAATTTTATTACCGTTGAAACTACTATCTGCCGTTATTCCCTCCTTCAGAATAAATTTTTTTCAACTTTATTTGTCTAAAACTAAAGATATGATGATATACAAAAGATATAAAATACAAACATTTTATTTTCACACCTACACCGCCGAAGATGGTTGACAGGAAAGCAAAAATTGTCTACTTTCAGTTTTAAGTATGAGTAACTTCCCTTGAATTGTGAATAATTCTAATTCAAGAGCCGGTTGAACCCGGTGATGCTCCCCGAATAGGTTTTGGACACAGGAAGGTATACCTCTTGTAGTGTCACAGACAAAGTTCAAAGTGTAAAAATAACCAAAATGTTG